ACTTAATCACAATTGTAATTAATAGATGAAACATAACTGTAAAGCTTAGATCCTCTTCTTTCATTTGATGCAACTCATATGATGCATGAGTGATGAAAAACAAATAGAAGAGATGAAACCAAAAAGTCATTTGGCGGGCGGTATCTGTACTTCAAAGAGAAAATCACATTTCTAAAAAAAACTAGTTCAGTTTCTGTCTTTTCATATGAAACCTCAATCAGGAAAAATGAGCCAGGACTAACAAAGTTCTGTTTGTTCAAAGTAATGCTTGCATTTCCATAATTTGATTAAACGAGTTCATTTTCACTGGCTGCCTGCCGTAGCAACAAACATAGTTGAAAAAAGACTTAATCCGTTTTGTTGACGATCAGCCATGGTTAAAAGCCATTCGTTTTTATATGTTCTTTCTTCAAAAGTGGAAAAGAAAAAAATACCTTTGGCTCAGATTTGATATCCACATTAAAATAATTTACACCACATTAACGCCCCGGCATGGTCTTCTGAAAAATTACATGAGGATTCACAAGATGGCATTTCAGTCTTGTGGGTATTCTGACAATTGTTTCGGGCTCAAGAGTCAAGAGACAAACATTGTTTGTCTCGTGGGCTGTGTATAAAATCTCAGATGGATCAGAAGCAGGATTTTTGATAGTTATCTTTCTTTAATTTCGTTTTTCTTTACGGGAATGGCTAAAATCACGACTGCAATTTCGACCAATCAGGTGGCTGAATTTCTTAAGTGAGGTATATAATCAAAGAAACTGGCCACGATTAGGGGGGGGGGTAATATCCTCAAAACACATCTTTGGATCAAAATTTATATTTTACACATCACATTACTCAATGAAATTGATATCAACTTGCCAATGAAGATATTTTAATTATCCATCATATGACACTAAACCCATGGTGATTTGAGGTTTTACTCCAAAGTTATCTATAAAACGCGATTTAAACACATCAAACACGGCCTCAACATACTTATACTCATATATGCATACAGTTCATACACATTACGGGCAAAAATGTCGTTTGTGTAGAAGTCAAGTAAATAGCTGGGTTGCTATACATTTTTTATGGAAAAGAGATATAAGCCTCTCCTCCGCACAGGATATTTACTTTGTGCTTTGGCGGATCCCTGAAAAAGCTAAGAAAAAGGAAACCTCTCCGATTTGTTACGTGGAAAATAACGATTTTTGATAAAATTACATTTCATGAAAAAAAAATCATGTTTCTTACTTGAAATTGCGATGCTAATTAATCCCAATTCCATCAAAATTGGTAGAAAAATCAATTTTCTTTCATTTGACACCAAACCCATTGTGTTTTAAGGTTTCATGAGATATTATTGACAAAATACTTTTTTTCGTCAAAAGGGTCGCTTTTGTTACGCCCTCTCCGATTTAGAGGTGACCGCTACAAAAAACACCTCTGAAATATTGTGTTTTATGATAAAAATCTTTCGAATAAACAAGGTTTGCTCATTTTGTGTGGTATTGGCAGGCAACTCAAAAAAAAAGCCTGATATTTTAATTTCGCCCTCCGCTTATGAGAGCCATATCTCGATTCAAGAAGAATCGGAGTAGCTACGTGTCGTAACAGCCAGGGGCGGCAATCCCGGGGGCGGGGGACACGTCCCCATCTCCATTTTTTTAGGGGGATCGCCCCCCCCCCCCCCCGGCAAATTTTAAAAATTGCAAAAATAAATTGTATAGCAAATACTGACTAAAGACTGCAACACACTTGTATGCCCTGGAGGCCCCAAGAGTGCAGCGTTTAGACTGATACAGAAATATTTTCGCTCGGTCGCTACGCTCCCTCGCATAATATCCTTAAAAAATGTACAAGTAAATATTGTAGAAAATTTCGCATTTCGTCCCCCCCCCCCCCCCATAGGTTATGAAAATAAATCACCGCCCCTGGTAACAGCTACTCTATATTTCTATCATCATAGTAACAGGTTCCCTATACCACTACAAAGAGACGGGGCGTGGGGGCAAAATGCCCATAAGTTTATAATAACGAACTGTGCCCATGTTGTTAAATCGAATAGTGCTCATTTTCACCGCTATCAAATGACCCTGCACTTAATGGGTTACTATGACAAGATGTTTTTGTCACCCCTTGTCTACCCCCCTTACAACAGAGATCTCATAACCTCCCTCACTTGTGTTCCCTTAATCTAAGCATCCAAGACCAGTATTTTACCTCGAATTTCCGCAAAGCTCACTCGCTAAGCTCTCTAGCATTCACAATTCTTTTATTGATCGTAATGCGACCTGACAAATATATAAGATATTCAGATCATCACACAAAATGGCAAAGTATGATGAAAAACAACACAATTTTAAAGATGATCCTTGATAAATTATTAATTGGAATGTACGGGTATATACCCATGTCTCAAAATTATCATCTTTTTCGCTTTTGAAAGCCTCTTTCAGACGCCCCTTTTTTCTATAAAAGAGTGCCTATCTTGTTGGTGTCTCCACTTTGAAAGAAGCTCCACCACCCCTGCAAAAATGAGGACATTTCTGGATGAATGAAAGTATAATGTATCAACTATTACTTTGATCTGAAAATAGCTTAACATACATGTGCCTAGTAAGAGTGGTACAAATGCAATATCGATTTAAGAAAATGTTCAAAAGATCGTGGATTAATACATAGGCTGCTTTTCTTTTCCCGTTTAAGTTGTTACACGCATTATTCAATGTATGATACTTTTATTTCAGATAGGAGCCGAAAAAAAATCCTCTTGCTTGTTATATTAAGAATATCTCAAATGTCATGGTATATAGACCACTTTGTAATGTAACCAAATGTATTCATGTGAAGCGCCTCGGTACGTATTATTGTATTTCAATAGTCAGAATTCAAATTGATTACATTAGTTGTTGCTAAGAAGGACAAACATAGGCGCCGGAATTGGGGGGGGGGGGCAGGGGGCGGTCGCCTGGATGCTCATCTGGCCGTAGTTAAATACTTAAAAACCTCTGCGTTTCCAGGGGCTCTGCCCCTGGACCTCACCAAAGGCCCTAGGCGGGCCCCTGGGTGATTATATGACCATCATCAAATGCCTTAAACCCCTGAGCTTCATGGGGCTCAGCCACCTGGACCCCCGCCAATTTACGATCCACTCGCTTCGCTCGCTACGCTCTACCTGATCCTTAATACATTTGAAAAACGTTCCACGGGGCCTGAATGTAACAAATAAGAGTGGTAGTGATGCAGATTTTTCTTCTGCCCCCCAAACGTTTTTGCTCATTACGCCACTGCCCCTGAAATGTGAGCCTCTTGAATGTTCCCCCCACTTCCAATTTGTTTTTGTTTTTTTTGTTAAATCCATACTGCTTCCTGCGCGCCTAAAGACAAACATTACGGCTTGCCCTACCTTAAGCTATGGTCACAAATCAGAGCAGCGACCGACCAATCAGTAGCCTGCTCGGTCGCTGCTGGAATTAGGCATCGCCCAGCGATTAGGTCGGTGCCCGGGCGCGTTATTTTTTTATGCGGCACAGATTGGGGCATGGTACGTGTTGAGCCTATGGGAAGTACGTTCTTTCCCTTCTGAATAATGTCTGCACGTACGTGAGACTAGGCATGTTCGCTAGCGCATTAGCGCTGCGAAGAAGTTTGAATATCCATCGCGAACTATGTGTTTAGATAACATTCCTCTTCGTTTAAGTTAATTAAGTTTTATTGACTAATTATTGTGATGTTCTCCTTGTTGACATGCTGCCTCCTCTTCAGATTTTCAATTGCATTTTAATTGTTGATGTAATGATTTTCCATACGGTAGTGGATTACATGTAACACTATTAAAAACAGACCTCTACAACTAGTACGCACACGACCACTATTAGTCTGTAAATCAAGACCCCTTTTAAAAAAAAGCCCCAATCTGTGCCGCATAAAAAAATAACGCTGCCCGGGCGGCGACCGCCCAAGCACAGAGCGTATTTTGCGGGGCGGCGAGTGAAAAGTGAGCAGGCGCCGCCCAAATTTTAACTCCGCGCTAAAACTTCAGCGGCGACCGAGCGATGCCCTAAAAACGAGCGCGTGCCTGGGCGGCCGCCGCTCGGTGGCCGGGCAGCCGCCGGGCAGAATTGGGTAAAAACTCGCCGCTCGGCCGCCGAGCAGGCTACTTTTGGGTAATGTGACCATAGCATTACAGCACGTATTATGCAATTCGCGTTCTGACTATTGAAATACAAATATTCGTAACAGGTGAATGAAATGATTCGTATCGAGGCACTCAGTATAAATTTGGTTACATTACGAAAATGGCCTATTAACTAAGATCTTGAAGATGAATGTCTATTTACAAGATTTATCTGCAGGGAAGTAGAGTTAATTGTCCTGAAATGGCAACATATCACATATAAACCTTGGTATATGTCAGTCTTATGTACGTCAGTCTTCAGTCAGGTAACTGTGCTACATTTATCATTTTAATTAACAGACATTTTGATCATCGAGCTTCATGCCTAGCACCATCTAATATGAAGCCTTTTCCATTTCTTTTGTTCACATGTAAAGGACAAAGATGTCATTCGAGGCGTGATCCTTGTTTTCCTCACATGTGTATCCTTCGGTACGTATGATTCTGGTCAACGATGATTTAATATTATCATTATTATTAAATAATTGATGGTTAACGTAGTAGCAGAAGTAGAAGTAGTAGCATTCAACATAAATACAATGAAACATTGATGATTAAACATTGATAATGACATTATTAATCAAAATGTTGTCGTTATCACTATTTATTTATTTATTATTCATTTATTTGGCGCTTCCAATACATGTCAAAAAAGAACACACAAATGAGTTAGCAAAATATGTTTTTAAAAAAAACTTCATTAAAAAGCCGACCATAGATTTTGAGACTATTGGGTCGGTCGCAAAGGGCAATACAACATCTTTTTTACGCCTTATACCGTACTCTTTACTCAACTTTATATTCTCTCCTGGTTTATATCTCGTTCAAAGCCTCTCTCGTTTCTTCGAATGAGAACAAGAAGACAAGCACTTGTTGTTCGGACGGATTAGGGCTGGATTACACCTTACCAATGCTCAACGAATGTAAGGCGAAACTGCATTCTAATGGCAGCATGGTACAGACCATCCCAAAGCTTATCCCATACACATCTGCGGAAGCTGCTTGTCCAAGAAGGAGGAGTAAACTGGGGATCCCATCCGGACACAGAGTGTGCAGATTTCCTGGTAAGTCATTCTTCGCCTCCTATTAACATGGTAAAACATAAAATCTGTTCTACTGTTAATTTTTGTTTGAAAATGTAATAATGTAAACTCAGCCAAAAGTGTCATAAGATTCAATATAATATGTTAGAGACCATTTTAAGACATTGGCAACAATGGTTGACAGTCTTTCTATATAGCAGTCGGGTTCTATGGCCCGAACCCCCCCCCCCCCCCCATCCCCTCCCAACATGGCTTGAATTCATCCAGTCCATGACAAACCTTTGTCAAGAAAAGGAATTAATGTCACTGTACATCACAGAACACGGAAGACTGCCGAGGAGAAGGTGTTGTTAACTTTATTAATCACTGGTCAAACAAGTAAAGATGGTTAACATAATGCTTTACAGAATGAGTGATAGATTAAAGGTTCCGGCGATAATTGATCTACGATAACCGAATCTCTAAGTTCAACCTAGTATCCATCAACGTGCACGTTCCTAACCCTAACCCTCACCCTAACACCAAACCAGTAGTACAGGGAGTCTGTTTGGGGATTCAGGGTTAAAGTCAATGGGAAAAAAATCCTTAAGTACAGGGTCAATGAGAGCGAATGTTCAGAATACAGGTTTTTTTTTGATCGTGTACAAAATGAATAAAAGTTTATTATTACACGTATATCAATGGAGAAAAAAGGAATATTATGTGTACAAAATGAATGAAAGTTTATTATGAAGAACGGCTGACTTATAACACGCGTGTCTATGGGATTTTGACATTTTAAAATTACATAGAGATTTTTAATTTCATCGAATCTTTACATAAATAAACATGTACATTTCCATCGATTTCGTTCATACATCTATTCAACTCCATCGATTTATTACCCCTCTCATTCTCCATCGAATCATTACTCCTCTCATTCTCCATCCTCTCACTATCCATCGAATCAATAAGAAACAACGGTACTATTGCTGAAAAGAGGTAATTCAAATACATAAGAAACTAGACCTATACAAAATCAATACCCTTGACATAATATGGTACAATACACTTCCCCATGCCGGATCACAGTATAGTCTGCAAGCACAAACCCTGGTCAGTCGTAAAAGTGAGTCTGCACTATAAGACTACCATAGGCCATGTACTGGAGCTGCTCCTGACACAACCAGTAGGTAGCTGGGCTAGACTTCTCTCAAGGCACAATGATTTTTTGATAAAGTGTCAAATTAGGGTCTGTGGCTGCAGACTAATCACAGTATGGGTAAATACACGTTCCTTTATTTAGTTGATCGAACTATTATTGATCCAACCTACAACAACGTTGTAAACGTTCCTCAGAAAGTCAAACTCAAAGTATAGAAAGAAAATTCCATAGACACGCATGTTAAACGTCAGTTCCACAAAGAAAATACCTATCCACTATTCAAAACGTCAATAATTCCTAAAAATCTTTAAGTGAGAGGAATAATGATTCGATGGATAGTGAGAGGATGGAGAGTGAGAGGGGGTAATGATACGATGGAGAATGAGAGGGGGTAATGATACGATGGAGAATGAGAGGGGGTAATGATACGATGGAGAATGAGAGGGGGTAATGATACGATGGAGAATGAGAGGGGTAATGATACGATGGAGAATGAGAGGGGGTAATGATACGATGGAGAATGAGAGGGGTAATGATAAGATGGAGGATGAGAGGGGTAATGATACGATGGAGAATGAGAGGGGGTAATGATACGATGGAGAATGAGAGGGGTAATGATACGATGGAGAATGAGAGGGGGTAATGATACGATGGAGAATGAGAGGGGTAATTATTCGATGGAGAATGAGAGTTATTTAGTTCTTGCATCTTTTCTATCAGTCTATCATTCAAAGTGTTCTTCTATTCAATCTCATTTGTTTTTATGGAAATCTCACACAAGCAGACAAAACTAAACTCGAACGTCCTAGGAAAATTGCTCAACGTATTATCGGCATTGAATTACCACCCCTATCAGTTTTGTTTGAAGATCGCTTATTGACTTAAATAACTTCTATTATGAAAGATCCATCACATCCACTATTTTCTTGTTTTACTTTAACCGCTCAGGAATCCGCCTGCGTGTACCAATTACCCGTAGAGCCAGATACAGAAATTCTTTTATTCCAAATTCCATGCACATCTACAATGCAAAAATAACACGAAGTTCTCAGCTTTAAGCGAAATAATAGCGATAATAGCGATTATGATTATTTGTTAACTTTTTCTCCACCCGCCCAGTAAATAAACTTGTAGGGATTGGGTTGGAAAGTTTTCCACCTTATCACCTTTGTGTGTCAAAAACATCCGTTGTTTAGCTCTGTTGCTGATTTTTTTTGATTTTTCTGTCATGCATTATAATCTAATTGGAAATTATGCCATCTCTCCTTTTCTATCTCTCCCCTTTCCCTGTGGACCCTTACCAACTCTCCCTATATTTCTCTCTTTTATCAGTCCTTCGAGCTTGATCTCTTTGCCTTTCTCTTTCTGCTCGTATTTCGATTGTGATGCTGCTCCTATTCTACTTTCATATTCACATCTATATTCATTCCTGAATTTATTCATGATGTGATTCAGAATTGTATTTAAAATTCTTGCTATGTATAAGTCATAACTGTCTTGTCATGTTTTGTGCTGAAAGCCGGAGGACCGTACCTGCTCATAGACTTTTTCTTATAGAGTCTTGACGCCCTTCTGGCTTTCAGCACACGACACCATGTTTTTGTCTTATGTTTTATTTATTACATGTTACACCAATGGAAAACAAATGTCTGTATTACATTATGGACAATAAAATCTTGAATCTTGAATCTTGAATCTTGAATAGATGTATGAACGAAATCGATGGAAATGTATATTGATGTAAAGATTCGATGAAATGAAAAAATCTCTATGTAATTTAAACATGTCAAAATCCCATAGACACGCGTGTTATAAGTCGGCCGTTCTCCACAATAAACTTCCATTCATTTTGTACACATAATATTCCTTTTTTTTTCTCCATTAAAATACGTGTTATAATAAACTTCCATTCATTTTTTTTTTACGATAAAAAAAACTGTATTCTGAACATTCGCTCTCATTGACCCTGTACTTAAGGATTTTTTCCCATTGACTTTAACCCTGAATCCCCAAACAGACTGCCTGTACTACTACTCAAACCGTATTGCGACTCACGCAATAATATCACACCTTTGGCAAAATGAAAACCGGAACAACTGTTTGATTATCAAATTAGTACAGGGTCCAATTCGGTGTCAATTTGAGAACCAGCAGGAATGTCAGAATTGAAAAATTAGTTCATGTCGTTAAAGAAAGAAATTTGACCATAAATTGTACATGTACCTCAGCACGGCAACTATATTTAAAAGTTTATCTTACAAGTACCATACAGAAAATTCCTGAAGATTGTTTTGGCTAATTTCGGTCGGCGCGCCGCGCCGCGCCGCGACCCGACTCTAGCCATTACGTTAGAATAATTTGGAGTTATCAGTATTTTAATCTCGCGGCGTGAAAGTAAAAATCTTCATTTTTGTTTTACTTTCTAAGCTGGGAAGTAGATTTTGGTCACCGGGTACTTGAATGTTTGTTTTTTGTTTTTTTCTCTCAATATTCATAACACTTTCTGTCGACAAAGTTCGGCACGTAGGCTAGAAGGGGGGGATATTTTTGATGTTCGGATCAAGGGGCCTTTGACAACGCATTTCCGATGGAGATCTTTTGCCATTGTGTGTATGTGTTTTGTAATGCACGAAAATACGATTTTATTTTTATTCATTTATTTATTAATTTTAGTTAGTTTTTTTTTTTGGGGGGGGGGGGGGCTTTGGGTGCAAACCGACGGCTTACTGTTATGATCGAAGCGGTGAAAACTAATGCATTCGATGGAGAGACTCTTATTATGACAAGCTGAAATCAGACGTCTAATACTTTTATTTTTGTAATGTAACCATAATGTAGGGCTATATACCAATGTCTAAAAATGACATATTTTCACTTTGAGGTTTCCCTATGTAGGTGTCCCTTTTTCCAGAAAGTGCCCCTCTTTGTTGGTGCCCCCTCAGTGATTAGGAGCAGTAGGCCTACCTGAAAGAATACAGTGATACATTAAATGCGTCAAGGGTATAAAGGGAGTTTCAGAAGTAACTGTTTTCCTAAACAATCAACATGCTATCGTTGACTCGAGCTATAGTTGCATTATCCTGTCTCCTCTTTTTACTACAGATTGTAGCGAAAATACCTGTCGAAACGGCTGGTGTGAGGAGACTATGAAAAACTTCAAATGCCACTGCTCTGCCGGATATCGAGGGAAACGTTGCGATAAACGTGAGAATAAAAACAATCACAATGATTATCTGACAAGTCGGTTAGACGAATTAAAAACCATTTATACAACTTATTTTTGCTAGTAACCAGAATTGATCAACTTTGTCAAAAGGAAAGGTAGTATGAGTGTACATAACAATCAACCGATTGTCAGACCCTCCTTCCTTTCTGTATCTCTGCCCCCCCCCCCTTCCCCCTCTTATTCTCCTCCCCCTTGCCCTCCATACTTTCTGTCTGTGTACCTATCTGTCTGTCTCTCTCTCTCTCTCTCTCTCTCTCTCACTCTGCCTCTAAATTTCTCTCTCGATTTTGCTGTTGCTATCTTTCTTTCCACATTTCATTTCTCTCTCTCTTCAATATTCTCTCCCTCTCTCCTTCTCTCTTTCTATTTGAATTGAATTGAATTGATAACTTTATTTATACACGGTTAAAAAAGCCCAAACAGTTACAAGACTGATTTCCATTGGGGCCGTGTGAAACAATGTAAATACATCGAATTAACATAACAATGACAATGGTACATCAAATGACATATTTAAAACAAACAGGAAATAATCAAGAAAAATATTTTTTTAAATAACGATAGAATAGTACTGCAGAAAATATGAATAACAATGATCATGAGTGACCAAACAAGAGTACTGTAAATATACTTCAAATTCAAATTGTTAATAAGAATTGTTACTAGTGCATATAAACTGCCAGAAATGATATATAAAAAGAATCAAATGTGACTGGTCAAGATACTGCATTATCAAAATTAAGGATATGATTACAATGTTGTTGTTTTTAATTTAAGTCAGTAAAAAAACACTTGAAAGTGAAGTAGAATAACAAGCACAACAGATAAAACTCTATTATTTAATCATTTTTTGGATAAAATGAAATGAAACTATACTAAATCATATGGAAATTTAAAAATACCCGAGCAGATGCATACACAACAATATAAATTCAAACAACACAAAAATGTACACACCAAAAATAAGCTGGAAACCTTCGAAAGTTCATAGACATATTTGAGCATAGTATATTATATATGATTATAAATTGGTTATTCTTTTAAGTCCTGTTGTGAAACTGTATTGTGCAGCTTGCACTTCGTGTGGTAGTGAGTTTCATAGGCAAGCGCCTCTGTACACAGATGTGCGTTTGGTACTATCCGTTTTAGGCTGGATTATCTTAATACATAGGTTGCCACTTCTCGTATCGTATGGTCTTTCTCTGAACGAAAATTTATCAATTAAATAAGAAGGGGCTTTTTTATTAAGTATATTGAAAGTCATTAAAGCAATATTTGCTTTCCTTTTCTGTTCAAGCGTATCCCATCCAAGTTTATTAAGGTTGTAGCTTCCGGATGAATCCCAAGGGGCATCATGTATTATTCGAGCTGCCCGATTTTGAATTTTTTGGAGATCATTTTGAAGGCACTTTCCACAGTTTCCCCATATTACATCACAATAGGAGAGGTGGGATAAAATCAAAGCATTATATACTAATTTCAACGTATCTTTACCAACAATATTACTTATTGATTTTAACATATACAATCCACTACGACATTTCTTTTGTACAGATTGAATATGGTCTGTCCATGATAAAGTTTCATCCACAATCACTCCTAAATGCTTGCAAGTAGTAACTCTTTTCAGAGGGGTTCCATCTATTTTTTTAAACATCACTTTATTGTTCAAACTTGCACAACAAAGGAGAAGATACAATAGCCCAGGACAATTACATTTTACTGGAAAATGTAGGGCATTAAAAATACATACATGTAGATATACAGTGTATAATGTTATATAACATCAACAAAAATTAACTAATTTTACAACATAGTGAAAACTAAGGAGTTATGGATATTCCTAGCTATAGATGAAATAAGAGGAGCTAAATATTGAAATTTCATTTGATATATCAACTTAATAAATACGAAGCATACATAATGAGTATTATGAGAGTTTGATTTGAGTTAATGTTTAATACAAAGATGATTCTGTCAGTGCCATGCAATGAAAAGAGGCGAGCAATAGAAAGAAAATATAAGACTGGTTATAAGGTGTATTAACCAATGTGTGTGTGTGTGAGTAATTACATACTTGAAATGCGAAGGGGAATTTTGGTTTCCCATTTATTGGCATTCTTTGAGTAGTAGATGACAAACGAAGAAACAATAGATAGTTTGGATAGAGTCTGTCGAACTTGTTTCAAATTGACAGGTTTTCTAATTTCTTTCAACAGCTGCTTTAGCCTCGTCACATTGTCTGGCGAAATATGACCTCTAGAGCCGATTTCCAAAGGAAGATACACCACAGAATATCCATTAGCCTGCATGTATGTCGGTAACTAACGGGGCATATTTTGTTCGATTTATATTCATGTGCCTTAACTACATTTATTTCAAAGGGAACTGACAATTCAAGTATGAGGATTTTCTTTAAGTTCTTCCAAAAAACACAAATGTCTGGGATGAGGTTGGTTTGGGTACAATATAGTGGAATTGTGGAGATGCCTTCTTTTGTCCATCGCTCTACCTTCAGGTCTGTGTACATAATATTGTCGCTAAGAGAGGCGATGCCTTCTTGAATAATTTAGGCAAGATACAAAAGTATGTTGTCATGGCGCCAAGTATAGCGTCCCTCGTCAAGTGACACAGGGCATGCGTTCAATACATGGTGTACCGTTTCTCTATTTTCACATTTTTTACAGTTTGCTGATGCCCTTTTACCCCATCGAGTAAAGTTTGCATTCGTATTAAGTGTATCTGAAAGCGAATTCATGAGAAATTTTGCAACTTTGTTGGGTAGGTTGTATATCAGGCTTTTCCATTCTACTGATTTTGATTCCAAGTTTGCAAGTTCAAAAAATCTGACGTTGGACTAAAAATGACTGGATATGATTCAGCCAGTCTTGTGACCTTTTTTGTACTAGAGAGTCTTTAACCTGTGATTTCAATTTTGGAAGAGTGGCATTAGGGTCTTTAAAGCGATTGAAAAACATTATGACTATTCACCACTGTTGACTTTTTTCTGGTCCACTGAGATTCTCTTTGAAGGGCAACATCTAAGCAATGATTAACCTTAGCATCACCAGTTGCTCTTATTCTTGTGTAGTTTATTGTGTGAGCTTCATAGTATAAATCAGAAATGTTGAGTACTATGTTAAGACATTTTGGCATATGAAGGAAGGCCAACGTGGCCGGTCTGGCAAGGCCGGATCATTTTTTCAAGTATGTATTGCATAAAGCATCTAGTAGTTTTAGATGAGTATCAGTGAGCTCATTGACTGTGAGGTGGAATCTCAGTGATATTTACTATTCAAAGTTGTATTACGTGCTAGTTTTAAACGATTTTTTGTTCCTAGTATAATGTATTCTGTTTTATTTATATTTAAACTTAACTTATTGACATCAAGCCATTTTTTCACATTTACTAATTCTTCGTTTACTTTGTTTTCCAGTTCAGAAAAGTCATTACTAGCATAATATAAAATAGTTTCATCAGCATACATATTTATTTTGCAATTTTTTAGTACTAAGGGTAAATCGTTGATGTGCATAATAAAGATAAGTGGTCCAAGGATGGACCCTTGTGGAATTCTAGATTGAATAGGTAAAAACTCAGACGATATACCATGGATTGTGTTTTTTGGGTATCTCTCATACAGATAACTTGTAAACCAATTAAGTGTGTGTTGTCCAATACCATAATATTTTAATTTTTTAATTAGTAAATCATATTCAACTGTGTCGAAGGCTTTCTTCAAATCTATCATTACAGAGCACACCACTTTGCCTTGTTCAAAGCTTTTCAATCATTCATCTATCGAATGCAGCAATGCAGTGGCCGTTGAGTGCAGTGGCCGAAAGCCAGATTGATATACGTTGATTAGATTATTACTATTCAGATAGTCATATAACTGATCAAAAACTACACGTTCTAGTATAGGATTTCCCGGCGAAATTCGCGAGAATTCATTTACTTTGCATTTAAGTTAGCGCAGATCGGCTTTGCCATGCCAATTATCATTCAATTTTCCCGTTTTGGTATTCAATTTAGAATTTTGGTCGAAGGGTTTCATAGATCTATCATTCAATTTAGAAACTGCTCAACTAGCATTCAAATTAATATTCACCTGTCGAGGCATCGTTTTTATCATTCAAATTAACACCTGTCATTCGTATTCGAATTATGTTTATTCAAGTTAGGAATGTTAGGGGGAAGAAATACAACCCACGCTTACAGTTTAAAAAAAATGCAATTAAGTGCATGATTTGCCATTATGGTCTTTTCTTTTATTCCATTTATTAATTTTGAGGACAATGCATATACTGTAGTCACACATTAGGTAAGAAAGGGGCGAAATCAAGGGATATGGCATTTCTGCACGGACATGTTCATATACCCCGGAAAAGGGGACACAAAAATACCTACCCCAGTCACAATATTGTACCATTCCTCCATAATGAAATTGTGATAAATTTATGATGAAACACAAGACAAACAACTTCCGTACATGAAAATTTTCAAAAATATTGACACCATCAAGTCCGTAGATGTAAGTCGTTTTTTTTTCCTTCTTAACAATCAAACTTAAAGGATGATGAATATCATATAAATCTAAAAGTATATATTAAGTGTATAAAATGCAAGAAAATAAAATATGGTGAAATACACATTGAAAAAACAATCTTGAAAGAAAAAGAATGAACTATAAAAAGTGTGTAATAAATGAGAAATGTATATTGACCATCAATTTAAGTGCACAAAGTGCTAATTTGAATGCTACAAATGAATTCGAATGCTAAAAGTACACCTTTGCGATGTCAGAAATCGTGTTGCGCCAAATCGAATGGCCAAATAGCGAAAGAAGCACATTATTCATTAATTTCAATGAAACATACATAGGATTTAACGAAAACTTAATAGATAGGAAAACAAGAAAAGGGAATATAAACCCAAGATATATCTGACAGCACTAAAACCGTTGAATTTGAACGCAAGATAAATTAATTGAAATGACAAACTCGCGAATTAGGTAGGAAAATCCTATACTTTCGAAAGTATTGGCAATATTGATATCGGTCTAAAATTTGTGGGTGCATTTGTTCCACCTTTATGTAGAGTTCTTACTCTTGCCTTTTCCCACTCGATAGGTACACATCAGGTAGTAATAGAGGTATATATAACATGTGTTAAAGGTTCATTAATACTGGAAATTGCCAGCTTAATCAGTTTCATCGGTATCATATCACATCCCATTGCTTTGTCATTTGACAGTTTCAACAATTGTTTTTTCACTTCATCTATGGTTACTGGGATAATTTGAAAGATATTGGTCAGCGTATGCGGTAAGAATTGCATAAAATTGTTGATTGCATTAACTCTCTCCTTCCCTCCCCCTCTCTCTCTCTAACACACTTTCTTTTTATGTATTTCTTTCTCTATCTCTGTCTGTCTGTCTGTCTGTCTCTCTCTCTCTCTCTCTCTCTCTCTGTCTCTGTCATTCTACCTTTCTCTTTCTCTCTCGATTTCTTTTCTCTCCGTCTCTCAATACCTCCCCTTTCGCTTTCACTTTCACATGTATACAATATGCTACAACATGAATCAACTTCTTGTTCTCGGCAGCCGCTCAGGCGTCAAAAGCCAGAAATTGAATATCATGTGATGAGTTGTCCAGTAAGATTTGTTAAATTTGGGTAAATATGAATAAATTTATTTTACCCTCGGATTGTATTATCTGGGCCCCGTCTTATGAAGAGTTGACATTAATCGCAAATTATTTGCAATTGATATCAATCGCAACTATGTACATACGAGATATAGGGGAGTGCAAACTTACGATTGATAAGAGGACTTGCGATTGATTTGGATCAATCGCAACTCTACAAGACGGGCTCAGGTGTATATATCATATTTCTTCTTCTTCAGCATCAACTACACAACAAGACACCCCAACGATGTCCACGACGGAATCCACCACCTGTCGTCCTACCACAAATACTCGTAAGAAAACTTCATTTACACCACCTCTCTTTCTCTCTCTCTCTCTCTCTCTCTATCTCTCTACAATGTCATCCTCTCCCCATTCTCTCTCTCTCTCTCTCTCTCACTCTCTCTCTCTCTTTCTCGCTCTCTCTCCAATCTCTCTCTCTCCAATATCTCTCCATCAACTTTTCTCCCCTTTTCTCTTTTACCAGCCCCCCCCCCCCCCCAATTTGTCTTTATAATATATTATTACCTCTTCTTTTTGTGTTAGGCCTAATCAGATATGATTAGCTGAATACAAGTCACTTATGGATCCAAAGAACAAAGAAGCTTCCTATAAAGATACACTTTGCTGATGACATTGAATGCACTTTTTTCTAAAATGCTTGCTCATTCACGAATTTGAATGACCACCGAGGTACCGTAGCCGGCATTAGATGAATTTGAATGCTCTTTGCACGAAATGTACGCTCTTAGCTAACATATTTTGATTGACCCAATATAACGATTGAATGCACGGATAGTGAATTTGAATGAACGGATTTTTAATTTGAAAGCGGATTCAACACTGCGAGTGCCATGCACTTGCGCGAATTCGAATGCTCGGAATGAAAAAAGTGTGAAATTGGCCGCAAAAAACCTATAATACGGTTGTCACTGACTAGCTAAACTTTTTTATATTTGTCCTAGCATGTCTGCCGAAGCCCTGTCACAATGGAGGAACGTGTACGGAGATCAGGACTGGATTCCACTGCGCATGTCTAGACGGTTTCCATGGTGATAGATGTGAATATGGTAAGTGTATATCTTGAATAATTAGCTCTTGCTGATAAATTTTGAGGCAACCGGTCCGCCCTAATCTTCACTGTGGTATATTGGTGAAGGCTTTTGACTCTTATGCGAGAGACATGGGTTCGAACATAGCTCGAATTGGTATTTACATCCTTGGACAAAGCTTTGTTTCGCCCTCCTTTTCCTCCCTTTTCCGCCTACCATGCAGCTCTGTTCAATTCTTGATCCATTCGACTTTCAGTCTCTTTCAGTATCACTACAATTTCCTTGTTCTGTTTTCCCCAATCTCCGCTCCTATTACTGTTACTTCTCTCTCTATTTCTCACTATCTGCTATGTTAAGTTTTCGGGTTTCTCTGTCCATGTAATGTATTCTACTGTGGTGTGTTTTCTATGTCCTGTTTACTTTGTCATGTAAATGTATTGCTATGTTTAATCATTTATATCTTTTACATACATATTTATATAATTATACAAGTGAAGAAGAAATAATGAAGCAAATATTTTTTATGGAAACACCCACATAATAATTTGTATGCCAAATGTACTTTTACTTTTGTGCATGACCAATCAATTAAACCGAACTAAACTTAACCGTCTCGACCCAGGCATTAATGGATACCTGGCAATGGTCTAGTAACAATAATTTTCTGCAGAAAGAGCAGTACCAATACTGACGTGGCTGCCCTGGGTAAATAAGACCAGGGCCCCGTCTTACAAAGAGTTAATATCAATCGCAACTTATTTGCGATTGATATCAATCGCAGATATGTACATAAGAGATAGGAGACTGCAAACTTGCGATTGATTGGAGGACTTACGATTGATTTGGATCAATCGTAACTCTTTGTAAGACGGGGCCCAGTTGTTTTACTTGTTAACACTACCGTCTCATTTATGCCAAAGTTGAAGACAACATTATCACCACTGAATTAACGACCGACTCTGTATATACGCCGTCTGCTGAAGCATCAAAGACAACAAAGGTCAGGGAAACGTCAATCACTGCTGAACTTACTATGCCTACAGCGGAACAAACAACATCATTAAAAACGTCAACTTCAACGCAAAGTAAGTATAGAGTTGTGTTTTGCAGATAGATAGATTACTATAATAAAAAGTGTGGTTTTGTTCGTGTTTTTAGGCATGTTCATGCGTCCACACGTAGCAGTCCACTATGTTGACGTGTAAATCTAAAAGTCCCTATTATGTAGAGGTGCCGTGGTCTAGTAAATACGCCATCGGACGTACTGTGGCCCACGTGGTTCGCGGTTCGAGTCCCATGCACCCCGGCATTAATGTCATTTGACAAGATATTGATCTGAATTCGCTACTCTCCACCCAGTTCAGTGTAGTATTACTGACAGGACGTTATTCATTGAATGCTCTCAGCGTCTTGGGGCAACGGGGCTAAACCATGGTAATAATGATTGTACTTAATTATTGGCACATTGACTCTCCCCTATGATGGATATGCACGCAAAGTAAAAGTAGCCATTATCATCATTTTTATGCCACCATGTCGTTTCAGCCACAGATGATGTCAACAGTATCACCACCGACTCAACAACTGAGGCTGCAACTACAGAAACATTGCAGACAACAACCATGGCAACAGTCAGAGAAACGACTAGCACTGCTGATGTTTCATCAAATCGAGACACGAACGTACCAGAAAGCACCACTGCTGCTGTGACAACACTCGGTCAGTTCAAGAATAATTGTTAATATAAAATTAACTTATAATGGACTATCTTGATGTTTTATCTATTTATTATAAATTGATAAACCAAAATGCAGTCCTTAAACCCCAAAGTAAATTAATGTTCCCGTTGTACATGGACATCTATTGAAATGACAGTGACATATTACGTAATCTGAACATGATTTTCAATTTATTAGAGGGTAATGAAATTCTAGGAAGTTGATTTCTCGAAAGTCTATGTGATCGCGTTTATATAATACCTGCCACAGATGAAGTCATCAGCACGTCCACCGACTCAACAACTGAGGCTGCAACTACAGAAACATTGCAGACAATAACCATGACAACAGTCAGAGAAACGACTAGCACTGCTGATGTTTCATCAGATCGAGACGCGACTGTACTAGAAAGCACCGCTGCTACTGTGACAACGCTCGGTCCTACGCTCGGTTAGTTCAATAATTGTTGAGAGAATATAGTAACTGTGTAATGGACTTGTTATACAATTTGCGATGGGTCGACTCTTACATGCTAAAGTATCGTTGAACCACAACATGGAACCATCTCTCGAACAAAATCCGCGCATTTCCGATTCCCAGACTTCCCTTCTGAATACAATGTTGGCTTAACATATCAAGGGGGTCATGAGCTGATGCCAAATGTAATACTTGTAACCATGTAAAGAAAAATGGTGGTACGACATAAAATGGATGATGCTTCTGTGACAAATGCTCCACAGTTATTATACGCTAACCAAAGTCTTAACCCTCATCCGTTGACCTAATACTGTCGCTAACTCTAACCTTAACCCTAACCCTAAACCTCGCCTAAACTTGCAACCGAAACCTAACCTTAGAATCTTCAAAGAAGCCCGGAGCAATTGTCACCTGCGCATAATATGTCGTCACACCGAAGTGAAAGCCAACCAAATAACTTTCGAAGTGTATAATAATGGTCGAGGGCGAGATGGTTGGAGAGCCACAAGCTTCACGGCATGACGGACATGTGCTCTATATAAGAAGACACCATTAATGTAGTAGTAGTAGTCAGTGGCGTAATGGGCAAAAACGTTGGGGGGGGGGGCTGACAAAAAAATCCGCATCACCCCACTCTTACATGCAGGCCCCGCTGAACATTTTTCAAAGTGGGACTTAGGGGCAAAGCCCCGGTGGGGGTCAAAGGGCGGAGCCCCCGAAGCTCAAGGAGTATGGGCATCAGTGGCGGATCCAGGAATTTCTTAAGTGGGTGGGGGGCAAAAACTGGCATGGGGTATAATAATATGTAAAACGATGAAGCGACAGAGCGAGGCTTTAGCGGCGAGGGAGCGGAGCGACCGATCATATTACAACGATTTAATAGGCACTTCCTGCAGTAATATGACGTAAAATTGCTTTCTCCTAACCCATCCAGGAGTAAGGATCTTTGGCGCATTAATGTTCACCGTTGTACCGTTCTAGACTCTTAATCCTAGTATGAATTCAGTTGCCCTCCCGCGCTTCACGCGAAAGCTTGGCGTTACATTAAATTAAAGATAAAGAAGACGATTCGTTGCCTTGTACCGTTCTCTACTTTTAATCCTTGTCTGAATTCAGTTTCCCCACTGGGCCCCTTAACGGTACACGCGCAGTCTGTGTTACATGATGTACGTATGGAACGTTCGTTTGCAAATCTGTGCACGCACAACCCGAGTGGTGCATGGATAGCATGTTATCTCCCGGCAGTGCTTGTCGCAGTAGCTTCTGGAAAGGAAAACATATGCTCTTCCTGGCAATTTGAAAACTGTGTCAGTTTGCAACAGAAATGGAGAAACGCGTCTTTTGTTGAAAATCATGTAATATCACGAAAATTTATAAATCACTTAGATGGAATTAAAAATAAGTCATGGTTTAATTTTATTGGGGGGGGGGGCTGGCGCCCCTCAAGCCCCCCCCCCTCCCACCAGCACGCCAGTGGTAGTAGTAGTAGTAGTAGTAGTAGTAGTAGTAGTAGTAGTAGTGGTAGTAGTGGTAGTAGTAGTAGTAGTATAGTAGGAATATTAATATTAATAGGAGTATAGAAGTAGTAGTAGTAGTAGTAGTAGTAGTAGTAGTAGTAGTAGTAGTAATAGTAGTAGTAGCAGTAGTAGTAGTAGTAGTAGTAGTAGTAGTAGTAAACCCATTCCAAAAAAGTCTAAAAAAATGGATCGTTTCATGCAATTCTAGATGGTCTAAAATATTACTTTTTCACTCAAATAGAACCAAATTTCTTGGGTTACAGAAAATAATGGTCCTTACCTTTGTCGTTATAGAACAATGTTCTTGCAAGTATCCAGCAAAGGTTCGTCGATTGCCACACTTTGATCTGTACAAGGTTTGTCGATTGCCACACTTTATTCTTACCAACGTTCGTCGATCGCCGCACTTTACTTTGACCAAGGTTCGTCGATTGCCACACCTTGATCTATCCAAGGTTTGTCGGTCGCCACACTTAACTCTTTCCAAGGTTTGTCGATCGCCGCACTTTACTTTGACCAAGGTTCGTCGATTGCCACACCTTGATCTATCCAAGGTTTGTCGATCGCCACACTTAACTCTTTCCAAGGTTTGTCGATCGCCGCACTTTACTTTGACCATGGTTCGTTGATTGCCACACCTTGATCTGTCCAAGGTTTGTCGATCGCCACACTTTATTCTGACCAAGGTTTTTCGATAGCCACACTCTACTCTTACCAAGGTTCGTCGATCGCCACACTTTACTCTTACCAAGGTTCGTCGATTGCCACGTAACCTTGATCTGTCCAAGGTTTGTCGATCGCCACACTTTACTCTGTCCAAGGTTCGTCGATTGCCACACCTTGATCTGTCCAAGGTTTGTCGATCGCCACACTTTATTCTTACCAAGGTTCGTCGATTGCCACACCTTGATCTGTCCAAGGTTTGTCGATCGCCACACTTTACTCTGTCCAAGGTTCGTCGATTGTCACACCTTGATCTGTCCAAGGTTTGTCGATCGCCACACTTTATTCTTACCAAGGTTCGTCGATCGCCGCACTTTACTTTGACCAAGGTTCGTCGATTGCCACACCTTGATCTATCCAAGGTTTGTCGATCGCCACACTTTATTCTTACCAAGGTTCGTCGATCGCCACACTCTACTCTTGCTAAGCTGTACCAAAATTTGAAAAAGTTGTCTCAAATTTTCTGTAAACAATTTTGTAACTTCCGAAACAACTTTGAATTTAAAGTAGCAGAAAATATATGAACTGCAGGACATATCTATCCTAACATTTTGTTAACATCACATGGCAGCTACCCACCAAAACAAAAAATTTGCAATACATTATTACAATACTATTTTATGGTTAAAACCAATTTTCCGTAAACAGTTGCAATGTCCAAAGCAAATAAACCCAATTAAATGATGATAATCCATATTTAAGGGTATCTAGAGTGAATAAATTGTTTTGAAATAAGTTATTATAAGTCTTAACACAAGTCAAATCACAAATCAGGCCTTTCAAATCAATAATTTTTTGTAATCACAAGAAGGGTGTTTCCGACGTTACACAATGATGGTTGCACAAATTCTTGGTGATCAGCAGTGTCTGATTCATTGAATGAATATTCATCCACATGATGAGTGAAGAGATCGCCATGTTGTTTTCTAGCGCCAACTTGATGATTTTCAGAAGATACATCATCATGACTCAATTGTGATATATCCATACCATCAATAGACAAATCGTCCTGACTGAGTGAAGTCGAGGGAGCAAATTTTTGCTTTTTCTTGGGAGTACTTGCAGCAATACATACTGGTGCTTCTGCTAGGTCTACATCATGCAGACTTAGTTGCAATATATCTTGTAGTAACTCTGAGTCTGAGTCAGACTCATAAATACTGCCTGAATGAAAATCCATGTCATCGATGGACAGATCATGAATATGATTAATCCCTGCTGCTGTAGCCATGTTAGAGTCTTAGACTTGTTATATCTGACAATATAATGATTATTTTCAATCATGATATGATTGATTGATATTCACAGAGATTAAGTTTTTATAGTTTTTTTAATGCAGTGAATGACTCCTGTCAGTAGGCCTATAATGTAGACTTACTGCTTACTACATGCTCTACGGAAAATACTTCCAATATCCACCTCCCTGCGAGTGAGTGGATGTATGTAAATCCTGTGGCAGGGGCATTATGACATTACGAACCCCACCACTATAGCACAGCAGTCAATGTAATCTGGTGGGTATAGCACTACCCCAGTTTTGTTTCTCTCGTTAAAACTTTGAGAGAGCTACTACTATTACACAGGCATCAATGGGAATCTGATGGGGTCTCACTACCCCAATTGGACAGAGCCTTGAGGCTCTGAGTGAGAGATTAAGATATTGCATTGCAGCTGGACTCTTCATCATCTTACGTAATACTAGTGTAAACAAACTCTTACTGGGGTCTGCCTGAAAGGAAATGAGAAGTAGGAAATAAGTATTTTACTTGTTTTAAGATATTTTCATGTCCTGAAGTCACTAATAATTTAGATGAAGACCAAAATGAAAGTTCGAACGAAGCAAAATGACCCATAATTGGCAATATAACAACAATTTTAACTCTGGCAGCGAACCCCTGCATGTGTCTTTCTCCCTTCTCCCTTCCTTTCCCCATGTATCATGCTTATCTCTCTCTCTCGCTATCACCTCATCAAGGTCTCGGTGGGGGTGGATTACAGCGCTAGTGTTTACTTAGGGCTTATCACAATCTCAGCTCTAGTACAAGTAGATGGTGAAAGTCAAATCAGGGTTTGAATTTTAAACGACAAGTTTTTGTCATGACAGATAAACTTTGTTATGTTTATTGTCAAGGGTTTGGAGTTATACAATAATAAATCCATGTTTTGAGGAGGGAACTTTGTAGGTTTGTTTGTTCATAGACTTAAAACATATGTTGTAAGTCTATGGTTTGATAAATAGAGGTCAAGGAATTTAGGAAATGTTAGTTTTGAGCCCACTCTTATTTCCACCTACCATTTGAAATCAAGTCATGAATGAAATTATATGCTCTTCCAAAGAATAGAATTACAGCTTTTCTAAATCTAAATAAAACAAAATTGTTATGTATCAATTTGAAATAAGAACCTGCAGACTGTGAATGTGCATTTCCATTAATTGAGACTTTTTTTATAAATAAAATACATGATTTATGCAGAAGCAAGCAAATCAGAAATATCAAGTATAGTCACGAAATCCTAATTAAAATTTGAGCTCGAGGCCTCAAAATAAAATGAACCTTGAACCTTGAACCTTGAATATGAAGAAGCAAGGATAGACTATATTAAGAGTATTTATTATCTCCAAACTTTGGAGACTCGAATCGGTCACATCATACGAATATGGTGGCCCTGAAGGGACATCGCGAATAGACTAAATCGTGAAAAATATGCGATAAAATTCACGATATCGTCAAT